GGGTTAGAATAGCTTCAGACTAATTTCCCACATTACCCATCACATGGTTACAATAACTGAATCAGGAAAGTTAAATCAAGTTCAGAATTATGTACTGCATTTTAGAAGGTTTCTATTAAAAAACAAAAAAAGTCCCTGAGTGGTGCAGTTGGTTAATGCACTTGGCTGCTAACTGAAAGGTTGGAGGTTTGAGTCCCACCAGAGGTGCCTCAGAAGAAAGGCCTGACAGTCTATTTCTGAAAAATAAGCCATTGAAAACTCTTCGGAGCACAGTTCTACTCTGACACACATGGGGTTGCCATGAGTTGCATTCAAGTCAATGGCAGAAGGTTTTGGTTTTCATATCAAAAAAGGTTGGAACCAAAGAAAGTTTTGGCCCCTAAACAGTTTGTTTTCATATTCCTGTACTACCTGATTTCTCAGCTATTCAGGATAATTGAGGTGTTATAATTGTAAGGCCACCTTACTTTTACATAGTAGTTTATATGTTAATGTTTCATGTTAAAAGCATGACATCCATGTTGAGTGGATTACAATGATGCAAAACAACACACTGGAAGGATATATACTAAATTGTTGACAGTGATTATTTTGGAGTAGTGGAGCTATAGGGGGCGGTTTTATTTTCTTCTATTTTTCCGTATTTTTAAAAACTTTGTGTAATGGCCATATAACTACTATATAGGTAAAACAGTAGTGAAGTTAGGCCTTTTGCTACTTCTTTAATTTGATCCTCAAAGCAATTGTATGTATGGTCTTTTTAATCGAAGGTTCTTTGAGAGCAGTGGTTCTCAAACTTTATTGTAAATAGGATTGCCTGTTTCACATCTGATTCAGTATGTCTGGGGTGGGCCCTGAGAATTTTCATTTCTAACAGGTTTTCAGGGGATCTGATACTGCTGGTCCAGACACCATACTTTGAAAAAACTACTAGTCTAGTGTCGGAGGCTCAGTAGTGAAGCATTCATTTGGCAGTTGGAATCCACCAGCTGCTCCTTGGAAACCCTATGGGGCAGTTCTACTGTGTCCTGTAAGGTTGCTATGAGTCAGAAGTGACTCGACGGCAACTGGGTTTTTTTTATTCTAATGTAGTGGTTTGACGTCCTACTTGCACATTAGAAATCTGGAGACCTTTTTTTTCTTTTTAAAATTGAGACATAATTCATTTACCATAATTTTTGCCTTTTTTCTGGTGTGTTTTAGGTGAAAGGTTACAGCACAAATTAATTTCTCATTCAGAAATTTATATGCTAATTGTTTTGTGACATTGGTTCAGTCCCCGCAATATGGCTGCACTCTCTCCCTTTCCCTTTACACCCTGGGTTCTCTGTGTCCATTCATCTAGGTTTCCTGTCCCTTCCTGCCTTCTTGTCTTTGCTTTTGGGCAGGTGTTGCCATTTGGTCTTGTATACTTGATTGAAATAAGAAGCATGTTCTTCACATGTGTTATTGTTTGTTTTATAGGCTTGTCTGATCTTTGGCTGAAAGATGGACTTTGGGAGTGGCTTCAGTTCTGAGTTGGCAAGGTGTCCAGGGACCATAGTCTAGGGAGTTCCTCCACTGTCTGTCAGACCAGTAAGTCTGGTCTTTTTTTGTGAATTTGAATTTTGTTCTACATTTTTCTCCTGTTCTATCCAGAACCCTGTATTGTGATCCCTGTCAGAGTGGTTGAATATTCACCCTTTTAAAGTATATAATTCATTGGTTTTTAGTTATTTACAAGGTTGTGTAACCATCACCACTATCAAATTTCAGAACCTTTTCATCACCCCCAAAAGAAACCTCATACCCATTAGCAGGCACTCCCCATTCCTCCATCCTCCCATTCCTCTGGCAATTACTAATAAGTTCTGTTTCTATGAATGTGTCTATTCTGGACATTTCATATAAATGGAATCATATAATATGTGGTCGTTTGTATCTAGCTTCTTTCACTTAGCATAATGTTTTCAAGGTTAATCCATGCTGTTGCATGTGTCAGTATACTTCATTCCTTTTTATGGCTGAGTAATGTTTCTGTTGTGTATATATATGCTACATTTTATTTATCAGTTCATCAGCTGATGGACATTTGGGTTGTTTCCACTTTTTGGTTATTATGAATAATGCTGCTGCAAACATTTGAACATTCGTGTACAAGTTTCTGCGTGAAAGTATGTTTTCAACTCTCTTGGGTATATGCCTAGGAATGGAATTGCTTGGTTATATGATAACTTTGTGTTTAACTTTTTGAGGAATTGCTTGGGGAGCTTTTAAAAACAGCATTGATGTCTGAGTCCTTTTCTAAGTAACTCTAATTTTAATAGGACCTGGCCTGAGTTTTTTCAACATTCCCACTGATTGTACTATGCAACCTGGGAGGGTGATCCACTATTCAGTCTTAAACTTCATTTGATAATGAGAAATTCCTGATACTTCTGGAGATATTTCACTATTCCCATTCAGACATGGATAGAATGACACATTAGCTAGTGAGTATGCTAACAAACCTGGGTTGAGGCTTTCTAGTGTTTCATGGTTTTTCTGGGCTTCTGACTTGTTCTACCGTTTTGTTGATTCCTCGGGTCCATTGTGTAACAACAGGTTCAGAACATGACCGGAGATAATAGCATAATTATCCAGTAATTCTTTGTTGCCATAGCCTGTGAGGAACTTGGAGATTAAAAGCAAAAAGCAGACTGTAGATGTGCCACTGTTTATGTGGCTTAGGTACAAATTCTGAAGGAACAAGTCCTTAGGATGATACACAAGAAGGTAAACAGAATCTGATATAAGTAGAGCAAGAAAAAACAAACAAACTAGAATATGTACATGTCTGTGTGTGTATAACAAGAATGATTTATGTGAGGAAGCCATTAATATTATATTCTGGTGAGTGGATGATTTGTATAGAAGGTTTTGATCTGGTTTAATTTTAATTTTTTAAAGTTTTGTCACATCCTTTACTAGTACTTCTCTGTGTATAGGAGTAAACCTCTAATGAAGATATCATTTGGTATTGTTTGAGGGGTACTTGTTTGAGTGTAATCTAAAGTACAGTATTCTTATAACTTGATAAACCAAAGAAAAAATCAAACCTGTTGCCGTTGAGTTGATTCCGACTCATAGCGACCATATAGAACAGAGTAGATTTTCCCCATAGGGTTTCCAAGGAGCGGCTGGTGGATTTGAACTGCCAAGCTTTTGCTTAGCAGCTGAGCTCTTAACCACTGCACCACCAGGGCTCCTCATAACTTGATAGGTTTTGTGAAATGCTGTATCGGCTGTTTTTTTTTTTTTTTTTTTGAGAGAGCGAGAGCTCTTAGAAATAGGGGTGAAGACTGGTCATAAGTAATCGGGGACTTTTCAAAGGATTGGAGAGGGAAGAATCATAAGGAAGCTGCTGAACTAGGGTCTTGGGTAAAAGACAGTGTTCAGAGCTGAGAAATTAGCAGAATGGGAGGGACAGATGCATGAAGCAGCTCTAGGCAGTTAAGTACTTTTCCCTCCCTAACCTTAGGTAACCTGAAAGGGAAACGTGACTGTAGCAAATAATTTTTTTTTCTTTTTTCTAAATTTTATTTATCTTGTCGTTGTTGCGAATATACACTGCAAAATATACACCAATTCAACAATTTCTACAGGTACAATTTAGAGACATTTATTACATTCTTCGAGTTCTGCAACCTTTCTCACCCTCCTTTTCTGAGTTATTCCTCCCTCATTAACATAACCTCACTACACCCTGAGGTTCCTATCTAATCAAGTTGCTGTTGTCAGTTTGATCTCATATAGATAGTTCTTAAAAGACCATAATGCTCAAGGCAGGCCTTTTTACTGACTTCAGGGTATATTTTTTGTTTAAGGTTAAAGATTATTTCAGGGCAGTTACAGCAAATAATTTTTCATGTCTTGTAATATTCAAGAGTCCACCAGCAGTCATCTTTTCCTTGGGCAGATTATGTGCACTGAATAGCAGATAACATTGTGGCTCTCCTGGCAGCCAAGCTTGGGAGTAGGGGAGTTCAGCCGTGTCCATCAGCTGCTTGAGGCCTGACTCTCCCAGCAGCTGTGGAGAATAAAAGTATCAGCTTGGTCAGCTCCTGGCATGCAAGGCACAAGCAGTTGAGCTGCACGCAGTTGGGTCTCATAGTAGAGTTCCTTGGCACCCCAGCTACCTTGCTCTGTCTTGGGTTGAGAATGTAGACTTCCTCTTGCTTAATGCTCTGGGCCTCGCAAATAAGGGAGTTTGGAGAGTCTTAATCCAGACCTGTCCTGTCCTCTGCAGGAATAAATACCTGAATTGCCTCTGCAGGAAAAGGATGAGAATAATGTAATTGAGAATAATGGGTATTTTCTTTTTTTTAAAAATTTTTATGTTTTCACTCTAATCCCTGGTAACTATCAGAGAATGTTTTTTTCTTTTGTGTGTAAACCTTTTGTTGTTACTTTATAATTGTGGTCTTATACAATATTTGTCTGTTTGTGATTGACTTATTTTACTCAGCATAATGTCCTCCAAATTCATCCATGTTGTAACATGTTTTGCAGATTCATCATTATTCTTTATTGTTGCCTAGTGTTCCATTATGTATATGTACCACAGTTTGTTAATCCATTCATCTTGTTGCTGAGCACTTGGGTTGTTTCCATCTTTTTACCATTGTGAATAATGCTGCAGTGAACACGAGTGTGCATATATCTCTATTTGTGCCATGGCTGTTATTTGTTTAGGGTATATACTTAGGAGTGGGATTGCTGGATCATATGGTATTTCTATTTCTGGCTTTTTGAGGAAGCACCATAGCATTTTCCATAGTGGTTGTCCCATTTTACATTCCCACTAGCAGTGTATGAGAGTTCCAGTCTCCCCACAACCTTGCCAACATTTGTTATTTTTTATTTATTTTGATTCATACCAGTAATGTCAGGGTAAGAGAGTATCTTATTGTAGTTTTGATTTGCATCTTTCTGATTGCTAATGATCATGAGCATTTATTTCTTCATATGTTTGTTAGCTGCCTGAATGTCTTTGGTGAAGTGGGATATTTTCTTAATAATAGAGAAAAGCAGGAACACAAATTGGAAGTTAAACAAACACAAATAAAACATTGCACTATAGAGCCAAAGAGAGCACTTACGCGTATCTGAAAGGCTCGGAAGCTAGGTGAGATTCTGGCCGAGGAACAGATCTTTCTCACCGGGTATGAATTATACAGTGATGCCAACAGCAGTTATGCTGCCTTATAGAAGAGGAAACGGGGTTGGAAACTGCTGTATATCTGTAATTTAACAGTTAGCCTTGCAGCATAGCGTAGTGGTTAAGAGCACAGACTAGAGAGCCAAATTGCCTGTGGCTTGGATTTGAATCATGGCTTCACCACTTACTAGCTGTGAATCTGTGTGTCTTAGTTTTTTATCTGTAAGATGTGAGTAATAGTAGTGTGTACCTCAGAGTGTTCTTGTGAAGTTTAGTGACTTAATTCTATGTATGCAAAGCATTTAGAACAGTACCTCGCACATAATGAACAGTATTTGTTTGCTGTTATTATTACCATCATTATTTATTGGTTTTAGACTTTTGGGAGTGAGTGGACAAATAGATGAAGGACCCTGGACCCACCCTTGCCAGCCTAAAAGATAATCCCTGCACCACTGGCCTCGTGACTGAACAGCATCTCTGTGGGTATTCTTAATAGAGAGACTTGCTCATTGAACATAAATAGTATATCCTATTTTTAGTGGCGAAATCCTTAGCCCATTAAGTAATTGTCCATGTTGTCTGGATTAATTATACTCTGTTTGGGAAAAAAAGGCATAATCATTTTGCTCTTCTGGAATGTAAATTTATTAGATGCAGTGGGTGAGATACCGTATATGGATGTGTGAACATTCTGATCTTAGAAGTGTTTTCCAGTCCCATCTTAGAAGTGTCTTCCAATCCTGACATTCTGTGATAGTATCTTAAAGTTCCCATGGGTGCTTTCAATAAAAATATCTTTTGGAATGGGTCAAAATAGAGTTACAGATTGTGTGTCTGAGTCAAGTTTATATGAACAAATGAATGCAATATATGCCTGCAATTTGGGATTTAGTGATCCTGTTGAAAATTTTATTAAATGTCAGCATTGAAATCTCTGTTCTTAGCATTTTATCAAGTCTCCTGTAACTTTTCAGAATGATCAAGTATGCCCTCCTTTTTCTTTTAAGATATGATAATACATGGTTTTTAGATAAGTTTTACCAAGCGGTGTTTTTTGCATGCCTTGAAGTTAGAGTCCTCTTTTATGACAAATTTGTGGTATTTGCTTATGTAAGCTTTAATAGAAATGCAGGTGGCTGTTAACCCAACTATTTTGGTTCATTCTAAACTCCAAGATCACTTGAAAATGCAACTGTTTCACTGAGGTATCTTATCTTCAAAAAAGTCCTTGGAAAAAAATAACAACTTGTAGACCTTTTTCTAAAAATGTCCTGTCTACACAGAAGGTCTTTATGGTTTACTCTACTGGTTTACTTTCCTTATACTACAAATAATTTAGACTAGCCTTGCACTTAAATAATCTCGGAAGCGTTATATGATATTTTGTTGTTTTTATTTTTAAAGAGGTTCAAAATGTAGCAGCAGTTCTTACCTGTGTTAGAATCTACCACATTTTAAATTTTTGTTGAGTAACGTGTGGTAAACATGGGTTTTTTAAAATTTGGAGTTTGAGAGATTGAAATAACCTGGTGCTTCCTGTAGCTTAAAATCTGAGATATATATGTTTGAGTTTCTACTGAATTATTTTTAGACTCTCTTGCTCCTGTCTGTTTCTATTCTAAGAATTCTCTAGGAACCTGTTCCAGGATCGTAGAACTCGTGGGGGTGGAGAGTGTTAGAGGGGATGGAACACAAGTGTAAACTGAATTCCTGTGATCTGGCAACTGGGTACTTGTTGTAAAAGTGTTCCTGTTTACTACGTGTAACTCTGTTTCTAGAAAAAAGCACATAGAATTTCTCCATATGATAGTATGTTGATTGACAGTGTTGATTTTTACAGTCTAGTTTCCATGCCCTAGTCATTTTCACAATTCAGTGATGGTAATAATTTTTAAGGATGTTGATTATTATTTTGGTTGCCTTGATTTATGAATTCATTGTCTTCAGAAATTTTATGTAAAATTAATACAAGAAAATTTGTCTGAGTCATGCTGTTGTTGTTTTTAGGTGGCGTCGAGTTGGTTCTGACTCATAGGGATCCTACATACAACGAAACAAAACACTACCTAGTCCTGAATTGTGCCTCATGTTAACTTCATGTATTTTCTGGGCTCTGTTTTTCTAGAGGATTTTAGTACATTTTGTTCTCCCTGTTCTTGTTCTATAAAACAGTATTACTCTGAAGATTTTGTGATGATATCTTCAGCATTAACATTTTTGATTAACAGGACAGAAAATAAGCTAGTCTGAATTTGTTTAAGCAAACATTTTTGAGAGGCATGTCCTAGGGCTATTATTTATAGCCTAAACACCTATTCATTTATATATGGAATACTTTATACTGAGAATTGATTGTTGGAATTGGGCTATAAAGTTTTAAGGTTTATACCGAGGCAGTGAATTAGTAAAATTTTAATGGTTTGACGTATAAAAGAGTTTAAGGTTTTCTGATTGACAAACGAAGATTCAGGTAGATCACACAAAAATAATGTTTGCTTGTAATAGCCAGGCTATAAGGACGAATAGTCTGTGTTGTAAATAAACCCAGTCACACACCCATTCAGTTTAGGTTAAGTATATTCCTGTACATGCAGATTTTCATCACCAGATGGCACTTCTCTAAGGAGAAATTCTCATTTTGTTATGTTTAGTGTATCTAGATTATTTTCATAAATAGGGAGATTGAGAAATAAGCAATTCAAAAGACGAATGAGAAAATAATCACATAACTCAGTAAAAAACAGAGTGGTTTGGAAATCTGTAAATAAAAGCTACCAGTGTTTTGTTTTTGTTTTTTTTTTTTTTTTTTTGTTAAGTTTTATCTTGGGAACACCAGTCAGCTGGGCAAATTTTGATTGGATACTCAACGTTAGATACTTAGGATAGAATTACAAAGTATTAGTACTGGAATGATTTTAGAAATAATCAAGTGGATCTCTTCACTTCAGAAATACTAATATATTTAAATTTGTGTAATGCTTTACATTTAAAAAGTACACTTATTCAGATTCATATCTGAGAATGCTAAACTAAGAGAAAGCACTAACAAAATTAATATAATCCCAGCAGAACCATTAGCCTTGTCTGATATAATACAACCAAAATAATAAAAGAACTCAAACCAACAAAATCTCAGAGTTATTAGATGCAAAGTGTATATTCACACTGGCAGAGAGTCGGGTTCAAATATAATTAAAAAAAAATTAAAACTAGCTTATTGGGCATGTGAAATATTCTAGTTAATTGGTTATTTGCTATTACAGTATATGTAAAAGGCAGTGCAGTAATATACCTGTGGTCTTTATCTAGCCATTCAGTTAACGAGACCTCTTGAGAAAATAAGTAAAGTAAGAAAATAAGTAGTAATAATATTAGGACAGCTAATGCAGAGAAAAGCCTGTCAGACCTTTTCTAGCTATAATAGGTTTCAGGGACATAATTTTCCTTGTGATACGTGAATTGTTATAATGAATTATGGTTAATTCTACTCAATTTTAGTTTCAGAAATATAGCTCCAAAATATAAAGTATCTCTTGCTTTGAGGCCATGAAATTTTATGTAGAAATGCTAGTATAATGTCATTTCCTTAACCTGAAATGTGTAAGATTTACAAATGGGGACACATTGTTCCACATCATGTAAATGCTTGCTTTGAGGTCTCCATAACTGATTGTTTCAGGAAACAGAATTCCACTTACTGTTCTTTTTTGGAATCTTTGACCATGCTATGATTTGGTCTTTCTTTCTAAAAGTTACCAGATCTATAGCATGTCATTTCAACACATATCTATCAAATGTCTCTTATATTTGGCAGTTACTGAGTGAAGGGAACAAAAAATTAATTTCTAGTCTTCACTTCTTTATAATTTTAAGGTTAAGAAGGCAAGTCAAATATAGAAGAAATAGAGAATAAACAAGCTAAAATGTAAATGTATACAAGTACTGTAAGATTCAAAAGAAAGTAATATATAAAAAGTTTTAGGAAGTATAATCCTGGAAACCTGTAGCCTATTTTGCAATATTTTAAATGGATTTTGATAGAGATTTACAGACTTGTCAGTGTGATCTAACCTGTTTGAGTTATTTTGCATTTACACTTCTAGGTTATTATGCCAACAATTAAAAAGATCCAGGGACTTTACATTTTAATTTTCTATGTTTGAAAGACCAAAATGGACGTCAGAAGTGACTGAAACTTGCTCTTGAATGTCGAGTAGCTAGCAAAAGCAAACAGAAGAAACGATGAAGTAAAAGAGCTGAACAGAAGCTTTCAAAGGGTGGCTCAAGAAGACAAAGTAAAGTATTATAATGACACGTGCAAAGACCTGGTGATAGAAAACTAAAAGAAAACCGAAAGAGAAGAACACACTCGGTATTTCTCAAGCTGAAAGAACTGAAGAAAAAATTCAAGCCTCCAGCTGCAATATTGAAGGATTCTGTGGGAAAAATATTAAACGACACAGGAAGCATCAAAAGAAGATGGAAGGAATACACAGAGTCACTGCACCAAAAAGAACTGGTCGACGTTCAACCACTTCAGGAGATAACATATGATCAGAAACCAATGGTACCGAAGGAAGAGGTCCAAGCTGCACTGAAGGCATTGGTGAAAAGCAAGGCTTCAGGAATTGATGGAGTACCAACTGAGATGTTTCAACAAACGTATGCAGCGCTGGAAGTGCTTACTTGTCTGTGCCAAGAAATTTGGAAGACTGCTACCTGGCCAACCAACCAGAAGAGGTCCATATTTATGCCTGTCTCAAAGAAAGGTGATCCAACTAAATGTGGAAATTATTGAACAATATCACTAATATCACACACAAGTAAAATTTTGCTGAAAGTCATTCAGAAGTGGCTGCAGCAGTACATAGGCAGGGAACCATCAGAAATTCAGACTGGATTCGGAAGAGGACTTGGAAGCAGGGATGTCATTGCTGATGTCAGATGAATCCTGCTGAAAGCAGAGAATACCAGGAAGATATTTACCTGTGTTTTATTGAGTATGCAAAGGCATTTGACTACGTGGATCATAACAAATTATGTATAACATTGCAAAGAATGGGAATTCCAGAACACTTAATTGTGCTCCTGAGGAACCTGTACATCAAGAGGCAGTCATTTGGACAGAACAAGGGGATACTGCGTGGTTTAAAATCAGGAAAAAGTGTGTGTCAGGGTTGTATCTTTTCACCATACTTATTCTATCTGTATGCTGAGCAAATAATCTGAGAAGCCAGACTGTATGAAGAGCAGGGCATCAGGATTGGAGGAAGACCCATTAACAACCTGTGTCATGCACATGACACAACCTTGCTTGCTGAAAATGAAGCGCACTTGAAGCACTCACTGATGAAGATCAAAGACCATAGCCTTCAGTATGGATTACACCTCAACATAAAGAAAACAGAAATCCTCACAACTGAACAAATACGGTACTCATGATAAATGGAGAAAAGATCAAAGGTGTCAAGGATTTCAG